TTTTTTTTTTTTTTTCAGTTTTTTAAAAAGGAGTTGAGTCTATGGCCTTCCACATAACGTTTGGGTGACTAATTTTAAGACATCCTTCTTACATCTTTAGTAAACTTAACATAAACCATCATTCCTTTCTCAACAGGCAATGCTTGTCTGCATGAGATGAAGCACTTATGTATATTAGTCATTCTGAATTTTTGTAATACCCCTATAGGCAGCCCGTGTTTGCTACAAGGCTTATAGAAGAATAAACAACAGAAAAAGGCACAATAAGGCTGAAGGATGAGCAAATAATTTCTTTTGTGTTATTCCCTTAAGCTTTCAAGCCAAGTTAGAATTTTTAGATATCTGAATTGGTCTATTGAGGCTAAAAAGGGGAAAATCCTTGTTTACAATATTTGCCTCATTAGCATAGGCAGTTCAGTTTCTGATGGAGCTACAAATAAATCAGTTCTGAATATTGAAAGGTCATAGTACGATTAACTTTGCCAATGAATATGAGCCTGATGTATTGAATACTTTTTGTGCAACGCGGGTTTAAAAACTCAAAATGTTACAAAGAACGTATGAGCTCATTAGCGCTTTTGCCACCCAGAAATTTTGCAGTTTTTGAAAGACAACATCTCGTTGAATATTACACCCAAAGAGCTAAAACTTTCACCATGTATTAAGTTTTACTAGCTCTTTAGCTGCCTGGAGTCAATTTATATCTAACAAGTTTTCTTGTGTGCGTAAAGTCGTATGCAAATGAGCAAAAATGTAAACAATGACGTCAGTAGAGTGCCCCTAAATTTACATCCGCTTAGAAGATTACGGAAGGTGCACCAGAACGACGAACTATGGGCAAAAGGACAATAAGCGCACTCGCTTCGCTTGGTTTTTTTTGCTAGACTGCAGAAAATTGTCTCTGGGCACTAAAACACAAAGCCAGAGTTTTCAAATTCTTCCGGTTTGAAGAGCGTTTTCCAAAAAGTCCTTTTTCGTGACGTATTAGTGTAGACGGAAGGCCTAACCGGAGGAAAAAAAGCTGCGTTTCCAAATTCCTCCGGCCCAGTGTGGAATATCCCAAAATGGGCTCTCTGAGGTGTGGAAAATTCACAATGTTTTGTTGCAGAGTCATACCTCACTCAATGCAATGTCCGGTTATCGATGCTCTTGTTATATATGTAAAAAATTATGACACCACATGGTATACACTTCGGCTAAACTTTAATTTTCACACGCGTGCCAGTGTCTAGGCGGGTCGTTAAAAGTTGCAGAGATTATTATATGAATGAGAAAATTACTTCACTGTGATTGGCTTAGAGGAAGCCAATTAATCGTTAATTCGTAATTTGCATTGTAGCGCAAATTAACGCGCACGCGATGGCAATTTTCTCAGTCATGAAATAAATGACTAATCGTATGAAAGCTCGAGGAATTAAAAATTTATGCTACACATGACTATGGAAATTATTTCAATTTGCACTCGCCCTAAGGCTCGTGCAATTTTGAGAAAATTTTCAAATACCACTCGTAGCGTAAATCCTTAATTGCACTCGATTCATACGATCACCTATACTAATCTAAATTATTCCACCAATCTATCTTGAATTCTTCCTTCACAACAACGGTCAATTGATTTTTGTTGCTATCTCTCGACATCTTGATCTGCGAATTTCGTCTTTCAAGTCCAGGAAATCTAACGAAATGGTTCGCGCAAATAGTTTTTTTTGGTTAACTGGACAAGCACGAACACTGAATATCAATAAATCCAGTTTTGTGATAGATAACTTAGTCAAGAGTAATACATCATGTACAATTTTCCGAAACAACAAAACAGTTGGAGAGCTGTTCCTCGAAGTTTACAAGAGCGTAATTTCGCTTACTCAAACAGTGCATGATGGATCATGATTGATCATTATAGCCAATGGCCCGGGTTTGTTTGTTTTTTTGTTCACACCTAAAAATAACACTGAAAGAAAGCTTTCAGTCAGTAATATCGAAGGAAAAGTTTGTAACCTAAATTTTCAGCGTTCATGCAAAAAAAATATATATATAAATAAATAAAGCAAGTTTGGTTGTAATATATTTGCAGAACTACGTGGCCGGGGAACAACCACAAATCTTCAGACTATTTTGCAACACGTCAAATCCGGTTTAATTTTCTGCTGGCCAGTTTTAGTTTCAACAAGCAATACCTGGTAGTTTAGTGCCTTAAACAAGAGAGTGGAGGGTAAGACATTGCTTTATTGCACTTTGTCAGTTAACCTTTTACATCAGTATCTTATTTCTCCTAAGTGATGGGGATAAAGAAAACAATCGATTAACAGGTGGGTATTGTCTTGATGCAATAAATCACATAACAATACATTTTGGCAATCAGTTAGAATGCATATTCTGAGCTTGGGACTTGCAGCCAACTGAGAAACCATTGAAAAGTGACATTTCCAAAACCACCTGGTTAATTTGTCTTTCCAGCTTACATACACCCAAGATTGCAAAATCAATTAATTAACTATATCGTTGATCTCAATGAAGAAAAATTTAACTTGATTAACTTCCAAAAACGAAAAGAAAACACTTCATTTCAACGCAAATTTAGCGAAACGTTAAAAGCAGTCAATTGAACGCTTCCTGCGGTCTGTCCCATGACGCTTACATGACGTCTGCTAGACAGCGATGAATCACTTGTTTGGGACCACAACTTTGACCTGCGCAGTACATTTCTGCCGATTTTTCTGATTGACAGAAAGAGAGTGCAGTACGTCTCCTTGAACTTCCGGTTGCTGAGAGAATAGATGAAGGGGTTTAGGGCCGAGTTAAGGTATCCCAGCATCAAAAGAGACGCGAGCAGTTCTTGTGGAACGCTAAAAAAGCACGGTTTACAAAGGCTTAACACCATACTAGTTACGCTGTAAGGAAACCAGCAGATGAACAAGACGCAAATTATGAAGGCAATTGTCTTTGTGGCTTTGAGATTTCTCTTGAAGTTGCCTTGATCGCGCGGAGTCGGGTGTCGGACTATCTGGCCTGGGGAGTTTGCCGCGTCACACAACTCCTGGCAGTTTTTCACGTTCTGAGCAATACGATTAATCTTGAAATAAATCCCGCCGATGATTAGTAGCGGTAAAATAAAGTGCAGAAGGCTGCTGAGAGCGGAATACACGGGTGTGATATTAAAGTAGCAATAACCTCCAATGACGTAAGAGGGGTATGATCTCCACCCCAACACAGGTGACAAGGAGAACACCAGAGAGTAGCACCACAGGGCAACCACTGCAACGCGAGAACTCTTCACAGACAAGAACTTCGACTTTCGAAACCGTCTCAGTGGATCACTCAGGGTCTTGTAGCGGTCAATTGTGAGGATCAAGAGGGTTAATATCGATGTAGGCACACTAAACAGGTACGCAGTCGTCCATACAATGCAAAGGATTTCACCGTGTCTCCACGCTCCGTCAAGCAGTAGGTTTTCCGCGTCGAATGGCATAGCAAAACTCGTAGTGAACAGATCGCAGCACGCCAGTGAAAAGATGAAGGACATTGTTGGCGACGAGCGGAGACTTTTATTGAGGCAGATTGCCAAGCAAACCAAACCGTTTCCAAGGAGGGAAATGAAGATTATCAACGAGTAGCAAGCCACAGAAATCGTTACAAACACCGGGTGCCATTCAGGGATGATTACTTGACCCAAAGACGTGTTGTCAAAAGAGGTGTTGTTCATTTTACCGAATCGAGCTTCAAACTGAACCTTTTAATCGAAAACAGCAATAGAAAAGGATATTAGTTGAAATTGTTTACTTTACGTATGACTGAAAATAATTAAATTTAAACGTCGCCAACTCTTGTCTGAAAAAAAAAAAACAGCAGTCGTGCTCAAATGAATAACGTCCCTCTAAATCATTTATCGCTGTATTCCTGGCATCGTTTAGGCCAAAGCTTGAAAATATTCATAATTACGTTTTATTACGTCAGGTCGTGGCAAATGTTTGTTAGACATATTTGCCCAAGACGTCACTAAAACGTAAGCATATGGCTTTCAAACGCAGTTTAGAAAAGTTTTTCAAAAAGTGTTCTCCGAGGCGTTTTGATGAAAAAAACTAAAAGCTTTTAAATAGTGGATGGCACTCAAAGTCTATAAGAACACTAGCAATTATCAGCTATTTAAAGTGAATTTCTTTAATTTTTGAACACATTACGAGTATTCATTTGAATGCGTGGTGACAATTTGCCACTTTTTTTTAGAGATGTATGTGTTTTCAAGTATACCCGATGTGATAAATAAACCACTTTACTAATAATTAAAACTTAAAATAAATAAGCATGCTTTTTCGCTTTGGCTAAGAGAAGTGGTTTGGATGAGCAGAGTGAGTGTTTTATTACTGTTACAGTACAACCAAAATCGTTCCGATATAAAGAGGTTACATTTTGTTCTTCAGAATTATAAACGTATCTGAAAGTAAGAACGTTCTCTGGTTTAAAGATTAAAACAGAAGCTTGTACTTAAATGTTTGTGCGCGATTGGAAATGTACACGAAAAAGTACAAATATAATAGAAGTGTTTCGTTTATTTTTCCATTCGCGCATAAACATTTCTGATTCGTTTAAGGCTATAGACTGATAGCCGAAAGCTTAATACGTTTTTGATCTTTTCAACCGGAGAATGCTTTTCTTTTAAAATATGTTTTTATCCTGGTTACATTACCCTTTTTATTTACTGGTCGTGAGAATATCAACATTTTTTTCAAAAAATCTTTGACGGTTCTTGTTGATCATGGTATTGGTCATGTACTCTCTGCAGGACAGTTGTTGTTTGTCCACAATTTCCTTATCGCGACATCGATATGATATTCCAGATTTTTGCCTATTCACAGTCACGCGTTGTGCATGTGACGTTGACCAATCCGCAAACATTTGGATTTGAGTTCCACAATTGGCCTTCGTGCTGGTGGTTTTTTTTTTTGGCTGCTTTACCGCGCTGGTGAGACCCAACCGGGTTGAAACAGCTGTTTTGGCTTTCAGTTTGGACTCTATCATGTCGTTGTCGCTTTGAGTTTTCTACGTAGTATTGGCCTTGCTTGCTTGTTATTCTATTTGTCTAGAGCAGGAGCCTTTTAAATAAAGTTTCCATGGTTGTTAAATAATATCCGATAAACTGAAAAAAAAAAAACATTTCGTCTTATATTGAAATGAGAGTTTCGGCGTTTCATCGGAGTTCGTTAAGTAAGGGACTTGTCTCAGTCATCGCTGGTTTTCTGAACCTAGGTCTAAACAATTTTATTCACTTTTTCAGTACTGCTGTTTCAAAGACGACTGCTGAATACGCAACTAATAACTTTCTCCCTTAAAGATATATTTCACAAAAAGTCACCGATTTTTGACTTTATATATTCAAAAGCAACCGATTTTAAAAAAGCACCTTGAAAACTATGGAACACGTCCATAAACGCTAAATATGAAGCTGTAGTCTAATGAAGATTCTTTAGCACCAAAAAAAAAAAATGTTCAATCACTTTTTCACGCTCTCAAATAGTTAAGATTCGTTCCCTCTGAAAAACTTACCTTTTGCCACAGGGTTTCAACAGGAAAAAACGAGCTCACGGTGCACAAGGCTGGCTCCTTGTTCAGCATCATATATTTTATACTCCAGTTGGTAAAACGATATCCGAGACCAAAAACACTTCCGCTTGACATGTACAAATGACTGACATTTTTAATTCTGTAAAAACCGTGCATAAAAGTTTCCGACAAGAAAACTTTGCCACAAATATCAGTTGTACTATTTGCACATCTTAGAACTTTTGAGATTAGGTCAGATAACATGACCACGTTTTTAGCAAATTCTACCTCAGCTCTCATTCAGTTTGATTTAGTTTTTGATCAATGTAGCGTCTTTCAAACTAAAATTAACGATTTCAATATTCCACTTGGCAGATCGGTCGCTCCCACGCACTATTTTAGTGGAATAAACACTATAAAAATAAACTTCAACACGTTTTCTTTTCATACATTTAAATTAAGGTTGATCTGTATACCGTTCGAGCCTAAAATCACGCCCAATTTTAAAAGTATATTTTGTTGCCTAGCTCTCGTAAAACCTTAATTATAGCCTGATTACAGCTCAGGGTTGACTCATAAAACCTTTCATACTTTATCTTTTTCGAATTACCAAAACGTGACCTTGAATTGTAACTGACAGTTCAAGATATCTTGCAATCTCTTTCAGATACTCGATTACGTAAAATAAAGCAATTAGGCTCTCGAAGAAGACAAACATCCTCGCCTTTCGGTTGTCAGCTAATTATTATTGTTAACATGATTTATTTTTATCAAGGCTACTGTTATGAGTGAAGAAAATATGGGGTGACAAGTTCTTCTGACGAAAAATATGTAGGAGGAAAAAGACAGGTGATGATGGCATCACAACAAGTTGTTGAAGACAGTTGCGGCAAGAATTTATCTCCGAAATGATCAACAAACTTAAAAGTATACAGTAACAGTTTTCATAGAGGAAACCTTTTAGCCAATGGTTGGTCGCTATTTGACCGGCTAAGACACAAGCCGGCTCTCACTTGCCGCAACTAAGGATATATTCCATTAAGGCAACGCTTCCGGAAAATTCGAATTGACTCTAGTGGAGCAATTAGTTGGATTAGTTGCGGTGGGAAAATTTTCGAGAAAAATGTTTTAATTTTGATTCGATCGGCCGAACCTAGCCAGTAGGTCACAGTCAAACTAATGGTTGGTCTTGATCGGCCCTTGACAAATTCAACTGATCTTTTCTGTTCAATGATTGGCGTAGAAGAAAAGTTTTGGATTTCTTCCGCGACGCAGGTTGGGTGGAGTGAAATAATTTGCTGAGCCCCTTCACTACTGATTGGATTCAGGACTGACAATATAACAGTATTTAATTCTACGTTTGGTTGACCCGTTTCCCTTGTAAAATGTCGTCCTCTATGATAAGTTGCAGCGGTTCATAATCTCGTTCAACCGGTCAATCCGGATGAAATGATAACCAATCTTAGACTACACTCATGTAGTGTATACTCCCTCTTCAGAATTTGCAGTCGAGTGCACAACACAGGAAGCAAACAGTCCACGAGAATTAAGCACAAAAATAGAAAAAGCTTTTTTTTTTAAATCAGCTTAAAATGTTTGTCGTTCTGTTTGTCCATTCTTTTGTATTGTTTGCCAACCTCTCACCAGCACATGATTTCTCGAAGGTTGCGTGGATGATACGAGGGAAAGAAAATCAAACGCATGCTTCTAATAAACGTCAAAAACAATATCGTTACAAATTTTATTTTTCTCGTGATTGAGGTCGAAAAGACATATTAGCAACGAAAACCAACGCAGGCCACAAAAGTAACTGTTTTTTTTCATTCAGTTTTTAAACATCTCAAAATCAAAATTCAAACAATAAAACCTTTTAAAAAAACACACACGAAGAAAGAAAAGAGAAAAATGAGACAGTCAACCTCCCTGGAAAAGAATCAAAAGCTATTATCAAAAGCCACAGAACTTTACTGATGAAACTCCGTTGTTTTCACTCCCGGCGAACTTGTTCATGTCAATTATTTTTTGGTTTAGTAAAAGAATGATACGTGCCTCCGTTGCTAAAGATATAGAAACTATCTTCTTCTTTTTCGCTTTATATCTTTCTGCTGGGCGCAAAAGAAATCTTAAGAACGCTTTCTGTACAAAAAATAGTATAGCCTGAGTACATCTGCCCCTATCAATATGAATTTTTTTGAGGGAAGGGGGCGGATGTGCACAGGCTAAAAATAGTACTAAATTAATAATAATAAAAGAAATGGTAATAGTTTCGTGAACATGAATAGCTTTCTTAAAACCTTGTGAAGCGTGACCTGAATAAAAATTGCACTATTTTCAGATCAATTCTGCGATAGCTACTGGTACAATTTTTTTTTATCTCCAGTTAAGAGTCAAACGGCTNATACGAGGGAAAGAAAATCAAACGCATGCTTCTAATAAACGTCAAAAACAATATCGTTACAAATTTTATTCTTCTCATGATTGAGGTCGAAAAGACATATTAGCAAAGAAAACCAACGCAGGGCACAAAAGTAACTGTTTTCTTCATTCAGTTTTTAAACATGTCAAAATCAAAATTCAAACAATAAAACCTTTCAAAAAAAAAACACACACACACACGAAGAAAGAAAAGAAAAAAAATGAGACAGTCAACCTCTCTGGAAAAGCATCAAAAGCTACTATTAAAAGCCACAGAACTTTACTGATGAAACTCCGTTGTTTTCACTACCGGCGAACTTGTTCATGTCAATTACTTTTTGGTATAGTAAAAGAATGATACGTGCCTCCGTTGCTAAAGATATAGAAACTATCTACTTCTTTTTCGCTTTATATCTTTCTGCTGGGCGCAAAAGAAATCTTAAGAACGCTTTCTCTACAAAAAAATAGTATAGCCTGAGTACATCTGCCCCTATCAATATGAATTTTTTTTGAGCTGAGGGAAGGGGGCGGATGTACTCAGGCTAAAAATAGTACTAAATTAATAATAATAAAAAAATGGTAATAGTTTCGTGAACACAAATAGCTTTCTTAAAACCTTGTGAAGCGTGACCTGAATAAAAATTGCACTGTTTTCAGATCAATTCTGTGATAGCTACTGGTACAATTTTTTTTTATCTCCAGTTAAGAGTCAAACGGTTGTCATGCTAATAATACTTGGTGATTAAGAGAGTCTTTGAAAGGGCTGGCTCAACGCGTCTACCCACGCCAGCTGTCTTGTTTGTGAACTGAACTGATTCGACTGATTCGCAATTTCTATGAAGTTTTGCTGAGATTTATCGAAATAACCCCTCAGCGTAAACTACGGTTCGGACATTTCCAAGACGATTCTTGTCTGCACCGAGTTGCGAGTTA